TGCTGCCATTCACAGGGGTGGAAATGGCTATAAAAGCTGTGAAAGCCTTGTTAGGTTGCACTTTAGTTGTTCTTCAAAAGGTTACTTTGTTACTCACTGGAGAAAATAATTGGTTACATTCCTCTGCCACGTGTTTCAGATGTGCATATTCACACAATAACCAATTATGAACGACTACCTATCCTCACAAGGACACACAAGATCTTTCATTTGTGCCTAAATATGAACGCAAAGATGGGCAACCAGGTCAAAGAAGACTTAAATGATTTTACAGTGGAAACTCCACTGATTGCTCGTACCTGCTCTTGTTACCTGAGGCAGATCAGGCTCTGGATGCTTTGCTGGGGTCAGCATTTAGCATTAATCTGGCTACTTCACTAGCTTTATGTGCAAGTGCTGCCTGTGCAGATGCTTGGCCTGTGTTGCGTTACCTGCAGTAGTTTGGACTCATTTTTCTGCCCTTTACATCAATAAAAATCAAAGTAATTCTAAGTGAAATGAGTGCAGACCACCTCCTCCTTAAGTCAGCTGATTGTAGTGCGAGTGCACACGAGAGGAAAAACATTTTTGGCATTGTTTTCTACTGTCTTACGCCCCCTCACTGGTAATATAAAATTAATTAATGATAATCCTAATAGCTGGCAGTACAACACCGCTGAAAGGGAGGACACGGTTGACGCGAACTGAATTATGGTGAAGCTTAAATTCAAGATGTTTTACAGTTGACCTGAAATAACCACAGTGGTGTTTTCACGTATGTGATCGAGTAGCTCGACATCAGACGGCTCACTGCAGTCGGGCGCATGTTGAACGTGTGTGTGTGCGCTGAGCATCGGTTTAACATCGACGCACAGTCCTCCCCGGAGACTTCTCAGCTCAACATCCTCAGCCTGAGAAGCACTAATTGAATAAAGCTGAAGTGGGCCCTGCAGTCTGGCTGTGCTGATTGACTCATTGTTCCCGGTGAATAAGCAACACGACACCTTCGCCGCGCTCGCCGTTTGGAAAACAGCCTCTGATGACACAAGCCAGTTCCTTATTCCAGCCGCCCACCACCACCATGTCCCTTTTTTTTCCTGTCCTATTTTATTTTATTTATTTTTTTGAACTCCTGAAGTGTTGGCCGTGCTCCTCACTGTTCGCTTTCCCCCGCATATTGGAAGCGCCGGGTTATTTTGCCCCCAGAACGTAGCTGAAATCTGCTCCAGCCCAAACCAGATGGCCGCGTTCACGGAGCGGTCCGTCACTCCTGTTCCCCACCATATGACGTTCGCAAGTCCGGGAGCCGTCTAAGCGAAGGTCCCCCTCCTCCTCCTCCACCTCCCTCCCCCTCGTCCTTGCCAAGACTGGGGCTCTGCTTCTGGGTGGCTCCTCTCCCGTGGCACGCCAAGTCCCCAAAGAAAAACAGATTTTTTATATTTAGCCAGTCAAACTCTTGTCTCGTCGAGTGTGTTTTAGAGATGCAGATTTGGAGGAGAGAACACGGAGTCTGCGAGGAGAGGAGCTTAAAAAATTTGGCTGAAGCAGAGCGGGGCCTTGTTCCTGGTGCAAATTTATTCACTGTGAAATTCAGCAGGACTCGTCACATGAGGACGTGTGACTGGACGAAGGCCTACATCCACACAAACGGACAGAAGGGACCGAGACGAGGCTGCCCAGACTTTAAACACTTACTTATAGAAGTTTAAATACCAACTGCAGACAGATTAGCGTTATAGTTGTGATAACAGCAGATGAAACAGTGGGAGACTTTTAACTGATTTTATTTTTATTGTACTGCAGTGCAGTAATATATAAACCCTGAATTATTGTCCTATAGTTGTTCAGACATCAGAAAAAAGAAGCTGTGTGCAGCACGTTTGAGGAAACTTTATTTCTGACTTTGCAGAACCACGATGAGGTGGTTTCATTTTGATCATGCTGTGTTGTCAGTTTGACCAAATTGACAGTTTTGCATGTTCACTAAATCATTTCAGGGTTTCCCCCCCATTGGGAACTGAATCTCTGAGGAGATTGTTTGAGTGCCTCCTCCAGCTTTGGTTCAGGAGTGAGGGAACGAGTGAATAGGAGATTACCGGATGTGTTTTTGCAGCAGTGTGGATGCTGTAGCGGTCTGTTGTGGTGAGTTTCCCACTCAGTCTACGTTCCTACTCTCACCTATAGCCATGAGCTGTGGGGAGTGCCTGTAAACAGCAGCGGAAATGAGCTTCCTACAACCCAGACCCAACCCATAAACAGCAGGGGAAGGATGAATGAACGGACTGCCTTTTTTTTCTCATAAAGTTTGAGTCTCAACCTTATTTGTACTAAATTAAAATAACAACTATTACCACTACTATTACTACTTTTCCCCCATTTGAGGACCAGCTGTTCTTAAGATAAAATTAACTGCAGGAGAAAAGTGACACAGCTTTGAACCTCAGAATCTCCAAAAGCGATGTGATAACTGCCAATTCAGCTGTATCGGCTACCAGTGATCTGCTTGATAACATCGAGGATTTCACTCTTTCACAGCCTGTAACCTGTTCTTCTTTGTGGCCTTCAAATCTGGAAGAAGAAAAGCAGATCAGAGTTAAATAAAGCTGATTGAATGATGTGAAAGCTGCGCGTGTAAGAGGGTCTGCTGAGGGAAGCGTCAGCTCGTTTGTGGTTCGGTCTAAAATAACACACAGTGTTCGTCCTGCTCATCACCAAACAGCAGGAAGCTTTCAGCAGCTGAAGAACTTTCCTCAGGACTCCATGAGACAGATAATCTTCAAACGAATGAAACTGTTTGCAAACAGGTCCCTCACATCAGCCCAGGCGCTGTTTCACTTGCGTCAGCTCCCTGCGAGTTTAAAAATCGCCTGCCTGGTTTTCTTTTTGCTTCTGAAACCGACTCAGGTGTTTTTAAAGACTCAAGTTTGTTTCTTTGTCTAGGTGATGTCGCTGAACTTGAACCTGTTCCGGTTTAACCTTAGTTACGGTTTCTTTTAAGTCTTGGGACCATCGGATACCTCCAGCACGTGAAGCACATCTTGAAAAAAAGCTCAATCCGCCATGAAGGCAGTTTACTGTGTAGCTGGTGTGACTGAACTCTCGTCTTCCTGTCTGTGCAGTACTGGCGGCAGGTGTACCTGGTGACGGTCCTCGCCATGATCCTGGCTGTGTTCTTCGCTCAGATCCACCCTCATTATCTCAGCAAGCAGTGGAAGCAGCTGCGCTCGATCATCTTCTGCTCAGTGACCGGGTACGGCCTCATCCCCACCGTCCACTGGATCTGCCTCACGGGAGGTTTCTCCTCTGAACTCGTCCAGGTGAGCGCGCTCAGTGTTCACTGCTGTGATTCCTTTCTTTAAACAGACTTGAAACTAGCGATTGTGGCAATTTAATGAGGTCCGAAAGCAATGAGAAATAATTTTGCTGTAGACTTTACGACTGTCTGATTTCTTTTGGCAACCACAGTCGCCCCCTGCTGGTCATAAGAAAGAAAATCCATGTTTAATGCACAGTGATCGGCTTTACTTTGCACAAAAAATGTACTTCAGTCTGAAAAATCTCTTTAGATTGACTGATGATTATTAGAAAATGAACATTTTAACTCAGGAGTCTGTGGGAACGACTTTTAGGGCAAGCCTCAAGTGGCCATTAGAGGAACTGCAGTTTTAACAGCTGTTGAGGGTCCTCCTTGATTGATCCACTTTAAATGTGTTTTCCTGCTGCTGCAGTAACACAATCTGTTGGCTGGCTTTAAATGCTTTTCAGTACTGTTAGGTCAGTCAGTAGTTCTTCGTGCATGTGCCGTTTTGTAACTGTGGGCCATTTCTGTCCACACGCTGGTCGAATCAATGTTTCTTCTTCCTTTCAGGCGTTTGTTCCTCGGGTCCTGGTGATGTACTTCATTGCAGCACTGGCTCTCATTTTCTATGTTTCCAAAGTTCCTGAGCGGTACTTCCCAGGTGAGATGACTGTTTTTATTTCTTCATTTCCTGTTTGATTCGTTGTTTTTTCGTCCACTCATAGTTGGAAAATAACAGTAATCTAATACTGCAGAGAGAAACATTGAAAATGGGCCCAAATCTCATTTAAAATCTGAAGCAAGCTGTGCGTTCCTGTCTCTGCAGGTCAGCTGAACTACCTGGGCTCCAGCCATCAGGTTTGGCACTTGCTGCTAGTGCTCATGTTTTACTGGTGGCACCAATCAACAGGCTTCATCATGGCGTACAGGCACAGTCAGCCGTGCCCCAACACCCCCCAACACGCCTAGATCGCTGCTCAGCACGCCAGGACTGCAGCTCCGATGAACCGTAAGCGGCCGTGTGACTTTTTTAAAAGGAGACCTGTTCTGCTCAGTTTCAGCTCCATCGTTTTTATTTCTGGACTCCACTAGAGGAGCTTTGCATGACTCACAGTTCAGAGTAGTTCTGGGCTTTGGTGTAGCCCCTCAGCTGTTTTTCCTCCTCTGCCTTTAAACTGACTTGATTCTGATTGGCTGCCCCTCATAACCACAAGGGTTCGACTGCAAGTGGTAGTCTAGTGGAGCGTCTGTGGTCACAGCCAGAGCTTTATGACTAAAATGACCTTAACGGTGACGTCCGTGTAAGCTTCAGTTTCTGATCCGCTCAACGATGCTTTGATTACAGAGGAGCTGTTTAACAGACTGCTGAGAAAACTTTGCCGACTGCAGAGAGTTAGGAGTTCACTCGGATGCAGACTGTGGCTCAATTTAAATAAATCAGAAAAAAGAAAATCTTTAATATTTAAGCAGATGTTTGGGAGTTAAAAGGCCTAAAGAAATCAAAGAGTCAGCAGGTGGAAGACGAGGAGCAGCTGATCTGTCAGGACATGAGGTCATTACAAAAAAAAGAGCTTTTAAGTGATTACATCTAATAAGAATCTAAGCATGAACACTACTGTATGTTTCGTTTTGTCAAAACCTCACATCGAAGTCGCCGCCTGTTAGAATACGTCTAAAAACAATAAAATGAAACTGAACCTTTTCAGGTAACACAGGTGATTTTTGATGCTTTTAACTGGCTGTTCACAGCTGATGTGTTGTTTCCTCCTCAGACTCTGCTCTGGTCTCGGTCCATCAGTTTCCTCACAGATGGACTCTCTAACCTGTGAGTCTCTGTGATGAGGGAGGAGGAATAAATCCAGCGTGTGACGTTTGAGTACTTCAAGCTAATAAGAAACAATACGGACCTCTGCGTCGGACTGACAGCTCACCTGAAATCACTCAGACTGTCACCTTTATAAACTCCTTGAGGACTTAATGTTTGTGTGTGAACAGCAGACAGCACTGAAGGAACGGGTTGGTAATGTTAGTTTTTCTCCCTGGAAATAAACCCGTGTCCAGCTGTTTTTAAAGGGTGAAAGCTGCTTCATCTGAGAGCAGATTCAGGCTCGTCCCTGAAAAAGGAAATGAACTAATGTCAGTATTATTATACTACGAGTAAACAGACTCAAGATTTCTGATATCTTCTTTACTCTGCAGTCTTTGTTAGTGGAAATGATCAAAGCGAGGGGATGATGTTCAGACAGAACAAACCAAAGAGTTTTGTGAAACAAAGTGCGGACTCAGACGGTTTCATATAAATGTACCCACTCTATTTCATACCTGAAGCTCTGTTGTTTTAAGCTGCTCACTTCCTGTTCAAACTGATGTTCATTTATATGTAAAGAATTTCACAGGATGCTTGAAGGGAAACTTTAAATATTTCAGTTATTTTATGTTGTTCTGTCGCAAAGTTGTGAGTCTTCTCTTCCTCGTCTTTATCAGTGGTAACTCTGGGGGGTGAGGGTGGCTGTGTGGATGCTCGTGAGTCTCGTAAAGTTTTATAACTGCGTCCCAGCCGAGAGCTGCAGGAATGAGTCCTAAAACCCAGGAAGTGTTTCAGTCTTCCAGCTTCGTCCAGTTCAGTTCTGCATTTACTTCCACATAATAAAAGATGGGCGTAGCTTCCTGGCCCGCTGTCCTGACCTCAGTCTGGTCATGATGAATAAAATGTAACGTCAGGTTTGGGTCGTCGTAAAAAGACGTCCAAACAGGAAATGATAACAGGAAGTCAGCGATGGCCACTTGAGCTATAAGGAAACCTTCACCATCCCTGCAGCGCTATGAACGTTGATTTGTTACTACAAACTGTTTTTTATTTGAGCATTTGAACAATCAAACTTAAGTTCTAAAACCCTAAAACAGGTGGGACAGTTTTTAGATTCACGTGATTTAAACATTTCACATGAACTGCATTAATATTTCTGTGTAGCGTGCGGCTCTGACATCGACTGTAAACTCTGATCACATTACAACAGAACTTTTATGACAAGCAAACTTCATTTTTGAAAATGTATTTTTTCTCTTCAGCTTTTTAAGGACATGTTTTTCCAGCTCGTTTACGGTGATGTGCAATGTTTTCATGGCTCCCCAGTGCAGCGCCTCTCTGCTCTCACTCTGGAACGGAAAGCCGGATGTTTTCTGTGTGACCGTTTAATGTTTCTAATGTTGAAAAGGGGGAAATGTTCTCCGGTTTGTGGTTCTGTATTTAAATTATTAATAATGAGTTTCTTTTTGTCTTAATAGACTCATTTTGTAGGAGTGGAAAGTTTTATATGTTGACTTTTCATACCTGAGGTCAGACTCTAAATAAAAGTAACCATGTGCTGTTTCCAGATGTTTGAGATGAAACTTTATTTATTGCGTCCAACAGCAGTATAGCATGATAAATACAATACAAGACTTACCCTGGTGAAAAAAACAAAAACAAAGATGGGAGCGGTTGTATGAAATGGTTCAACTGGTGTAAAAAAAGAAAACAGAGCAGGCTGCTGGTTTCATTCAAACAAATGTGCCAACGGTGGTGGAGCTAAATGCAGTGCTTAAGGCGGTCGATGAAGAAGCACAAAGTTGTTTAAGGAAGATTTCATCAAGAAACAAAAACCAAACCCGAATAACATGTTTTGCCCTTTATGAATGCACCTCATTCTGCAAAGACAAAAAACCAAACTGTGAACAAATCCCATCAAGACATGAAACCGTGACGCAAGTAATCAGAGCTCGATAAACCAATAAAACCTGTCCCACATACAGAGTCCTGCTGCCACGAGTACTACGCTCACTGCAGAACCAAACATCGAATCATCCAACGCATCGTTTCCCCTCAGTCTGAATCTGCTCCCCGGCCTGTATTACTGTAGGGTCCTTAATAAAACGCCACGAGGAATTTTCTGTTTTTAAAAGAGCAGTCTGATATTTTAAGGAGGTGGAAAAAGTTCAATGCCACTCTTGTTTCTTTATTTATAGTTAAATCTACTCCATAAGCTCATTTCCAGGAATTATCCACATATGATGGTGAAGCAGGCAAAATAACTGTTGTTGGTCAGCACCATAAATCAGTTAGCACAAAAACACGGACTGTATAAAAACTATTTTAACCAGTTAAGATTTTTAAGTGGGATTTTATTTCTTTAAACATAAAGTACAGTTTTAATTATCAAACGGCTACAAAATAACCAAAAGTTCCACTCCTAGCCTGAAAAACAAACTAATCGTGTGCCGTTTTCTAATTTTTTTAATGCCTCCTGGCTACAAAGATGAACTTTAAAGCAGCGCCTCTAAATATGAATTATTTAAAGCTTAGAAAGTAAAACCGTACTGTTCAAACACCAAACTATTGCTCTCAAACTGGTAAAAACTGGTTTGAGTGGGGCTGCGTTCACAGACGGGGTTAAATGAAAACTCAAGAGAAACAAGTCGCACTGTTATTTCACCCTTTCTTCTTAATTCATACCCCCAATTTCCTCAAGAGGTTTTTACATTTTAATTCTGGTACATTGACTCACGACACCATCTTGTGGTGCTGATTGGTATTACATGAAAGTACAGCCCGGCTCTAATTCAACTTCAGTCCATATCGTTTCGGCACAACAAAGTCCTTTTTATCGTAGCAGTTATTTCTTCACATTCTGGTGACATTTTTAGTCAATTTTAAAGCTTTTACGCTACTTTTAAATATACAAATGTACAACAAGCACCTTTACAGAGCAGCTAATGTTAGCCAGTCTCACACGCACCTCAGTCACGTAACAGCTACAAACGTTTGCGGTTGGAGCGAAAATTACTTGAAACACTTGATTGGCTTTAGTTCTTTCATGGGACTTGTTCACACTAAACCTGCAAACCTATCAGTTTACTAATGGTGAAATTCCCGATGATGTAAAATGCCGAGGTCAGTGACAATGCCGGGAAAACAGCTGCACAGTTTGAGTTCTGCAGGGCTCATAAGCCTAAACTAGTCCTCTAACGTGGCTTTGTGTGTTTTATTTCTAACAGAAATGTTGAGTTGTAACTTATTAAAAAATAAAAAAACAATTAAGAGTTCTTGTTGCTAGGAAATAAAAAGAGTTAAGATCCTAAATTTAAACCTGACCCAATTAAGAGCTCCAAGAAGAACAAGATTCAATCCCTTCTAATGCATCACAAACCACACCCACATTTAGCTGCATAAAGACTACTGTGACATTATGCATAGAGAAGAATCTAATAAAGACAGAAGAGGTTCAGGAAAAGACGCGCGAGGCTGACGGCGTCGTGGTTTCCGAGGTACTATGAAGCAAGGCAGAGCCGAGCTCAGGTAAGGCGTCGTGGTGCTAAAAACAAAAACATGTCGGCAGATCAGAAGGCAGGCCGGAGAGAGCTTTTCACAGCAAGACGAGCGGTCGAAGCTCAGAATCACATTTTTTTTTGAGTGGGTTTCTTTTGGTTCCAAACAGCGTTCAGATGCAGCATTAAAGGCTTTTCAAAAACATGTGCAGCTGAAGGATATGTGGAAACGCCACTCGCACTCCACAGGGTTTGTTATCCAGACTGTATTAAAACGCTCTTAGAAAAAAGTTTTAGCTTGTTGGTTAAAAATGATCCCAAACCGAGAAAAAGAAAGCAGCCGACAGAGCGGGAAGACGCAGGTGGAGTCACTGCTTTGAGGGGAAAGGTGCGGCTCCGAAGGGGTCGAGGTCCAGCGGCTGTGAGGGCGCCGCCTGCTGCTGAGGTCCACTGTGGATGACCAGTTCTGTGAAGGGCACCGCCCCGAAGTCATCCATATTTCGGCTCTCTCCGTGCAGAGGGCCCGTCCAGGACTTACCGTTGGCCGTGCCGATGTCGCCTTTTCCGTCGCCGAGGCCTTGGTACTGGCTGTGTCGGCCGCCGTCCTGAGGGTGGAAGGGTTTGGCTCCAAACGGGTCTAAAAGGGCGTCGTCCACCGGCAGAGACGCTCCCTCGGCCATCGTTATATCCACACTGATGTTCTCCTTGGAGTCAGAGGTGCTGAGGAACTCGTTGCTGCTCTGCGAGTCTCTGCGGCCGACCTTCTTGTGTCTGCGGACTCGTTCGGGCGTGCGATAGGTCGGCTTGTTAGTCTTGCGCCCTCCCGTCGGTGTGCCGTGGTGCCGCTTGCCGTTACTGCCCCCAGCCGTGGCTTCCTGTTTGGTCTTCCGCTGGCGGGACGACAGCTTCTGAAGGCTGCGCTGCTTCAGCCTCTGCTGCTGAGGACTCGCCGACTCCTCGAAGGGCGTCCGGAAGATGTCTTCGGCACTTCTGGAGGTGGTGGGAGGTTGGGCGGTGGGGCTTGGCTGGAAGGGAGAGAAGCCAAAAACATCGATGCCCTCAGGAGAAACTGGCGGCGTTTGGCCCATGGGGACGTCACCGCCACTCCTGCTCGACCTCGAGAGGTTCCGGCTGAACGGCGCTTTGGTAAAAACGTCAAACTCGTCTGCCGCCTGCTGCTCATGGCCGACCTTGAAAGGCGCTTTAGTGAAGATATCTGTGGCCTCTGGAGGTTCCACAGGTGAAGCTCCTCCGACAAAGGGCACGGCACCAAAAACATCCACAGGCTCCACAGCTCTCACTCCACCAGGTGACTCTGGAGGTGTGATCAGAGCCATCCCAGAAGGAGGACTCCTGGTGGCAGCAGTCGCTCCTTTAGCTCCTGCAGGTTTCTTTGAGCGGTTCTTCACCCTGCTGGCATCATAGTCTGAATCTGAGCTGTGTTTGTCTTCATCCTCCTCTCCCTCCTCCTCAGAGTCCATCAGCAAAGGCCTCTGTCCAAAATTCTCTGGCTCGGTGTCTTCACCATGCTCGCTGTTCAACGCCTCCTCTTCCTCCGGCTCTTCGTCCTCGCTGCTCTTAGGTGAAGGAGGGTCGGACTCGAAGTCGCTGTCGGACTCGTCGCCGGGCCTGCAGTTGGTCTTCCTGCTCGGTTTGTGCTCCTTGTGGGTCGGCTGCAGACTCTCGGCAGGTTCGGGAACGCCGACCTCCTCGCTGGTCGGCTCGGCCTTCTGCGCACTGCTACCTGCAGAAACAAAACACAGATAATACAGATGTTAACCCCTGATCCTTCCAGATGTTTGATAGTTTTAACAACTGCCAAGTCAGATTTCTTGAAGGCATCCAACCCTTTTCTGATCTCTCCAAAAACAAAACTCAGTTTTTCATTTAGAAAACCTCACAAACCTGCAATGACTTCAGATCACACAAAATCAGTCAGAATAACAACACTGCAGGACGTGTAACTCAAGTCTTTGCTACTCGTGTGTCTCGACTGTAGTGTTACAAAAACAAAGAAAGAAATCAGATGGACCAATCCCCCCAAAACTCCTGTGCAACGTTAACATAAAAGAGCTATTTTATGGAAAATCGGTGACATCTCCCAGCTGGCAGCAGGTTTAACATGCCTACATGAAAATGATTTTGACACAAGAGGACTCGCAGGCAGAAGACGAGGCTGGTATCAAAACGCAGGTCGTAAAAGATTTTTTCATATAACTGAGCAGCATCCATCCCGCATGCTGTCGAGACCCCTAAACGTTTCACCCGGTGAATTCCACAGATGTCCACAGAGCAGGCATCCAGGGTCTCAATGCCAGTGAAATATTTTGGCTGTGACTCGTAAGAATATTTTATTGATCCCAAAGGGAGATTCATAGTCTTGGAGTGGTTAAAGAACCACTGAGCTTAAATGAGCCAGCTGTTAAAATTTTATGTAGATTATCTCCTGAATTGTTGTAAATGCCGAGGTGCTCTGGTTTCACATTTTTCTTATCCAACATCATTGTAAGGTTACGCCGAACACATGAAAACACGGAGTGAGTCACTTTTATGAGTGACACTCAGGCAGTCTGAGTCTAATGCTCTACAGTTCCTCCTTTTCTTTTCATTTCCATGTAGAAAAACTATTTCAGTCTGAAATCGATCTTTCCTTCTAGTCTTCGTCCGCCGCCTCTCAGACTGCTTCCATCCATTGCTGTTACCAACCTTCAGCTCACTCTGGCCGGCGGTGCCCTCTGAAGAGCTGATATCAGACCTGTCTTGTTTAAGAGTCAAGTCTGTGCTGCGCTGGTGTTTGAGCTCTGCCTCCTGTTGTCCACATTACACCTGAATCACCGTGTGAACGCATTTTGAATTTTGCAGGAAAACTGTTCAAATGTGTCCAAATGGGTGAAAACTGATTGTTGTTTTTGTGAAACAACAACAGATTCAATCAATTTTGCTAATATCAAAAGTCAATGATAAGTGACAGACCGAGTCCTGATGCCTTCTGCTGCTTCTTTGACCGCTGTATTATGGAGGCATTACCCAGGATTACTCGGCTTATACGCCAACTTCCCCACACAAACAAACGCCCAAAAGTTTGCCTTATACTGAAGCAGAAGTGCAATCGCAAAAGTCAATATGGTCTAAAAGCTGCTCCGACTTCTCATCTCTGATCCTGCCATAAGAAGAGCGAGCTTAGAGGCCGGGGAAATAAGACGAGCAGCTTTTCAAGATTCACAGAATTACTTTTAAAGTTTAGAGATTTAAGCTGCGAGCGTCCCTTTAGACTTGAAAAAGGAAGCTTTGTTCTCTTATTTAAACTCTGCATTTTTGGAAATTCTTACATGTATTTTGGCATTTGGAGGAAAAATTTCTGCCTTCAGTGTGTAAATTTATGTCCAAGAGATTTGCATAATGGCAACTTAGAAATTATCCTAATTAGCGAGTGGATAGTCTCCAATTGTATTGAAGATAAACGGTGCCATATACGATGAGCCAATTCATTGTTCCCTATTAGAGGAACGCTGGGAAAAAGAGAAGAAGAGAACGACCCCCTGCTGCGAACATGAAAATGGAAACCAAGCGTCCAAACTGGCAGGACGTGACGGCGGATCAGCCAAAAGCTTTGCTGCCGATAAATCAAACAAGGCAGCACTCAAAGATAAGAAGTCCGAGCTGCTCTGCATCTGCTCGGCCCACCCGGATTAGAACTTGTAATCATGCTCACCTCCCGGAACGAGGCGATCCCGCCAAACAATAGAAACATCTTTAATCATGAGAGAAGATGTCAGAGCCACGCGGATTTGTTTTGTCAGCGTTCCTCCGGTGGGGTGGGGGGAGATTCTGAAGGATTACAGGCTGCGTCTGATCTCTTAAAGATACAAATAAGTGGCGAAAACATGCGTGTGATTGTTCTCTTGTGTGACGGGAGAGAAAATCTGTTAGAAATGAGCGAGAGCAGCAGGGGCTTACAGAAGTCTGTTCCCTCGCCGAACAACCGCCGCGAGCACAGATTGATTTGACGAGGCCGCTGAGAGGTGAACCCAGCGACGGCGAGCCAAACGGGAACGCCCACATTACATTTTATCCTGCAGGGTTCAGGTTAACGAGTTTGGAGAGGGACGTGTCTGTAAAGCTGTAGCTGCTGGATGGTCTGAACGCCTCCTCTATCCAGTGTCGATTCCTACATGCATTTAGATGAGGGAGGAGAGGAGGAACAGGTGCAGTGTTTGTACAGGTGTGCATCAGAGGTGGAATATACAAATCTTGTCCTTTTGATGTCGTTTCAGTCATTCAGGATGGAAACTTGTTTGTGCAACTCATCACTTTGCATCACGCCGAATTAAAATTGACCCTAAACAGAAAACACGATGAGCACCTGTTACACCTGAAGTAATGAAATTAAGGAAAAAAATATTTTATGAATCAGTCGTGCGACATATTTAACCGACATCGCTTCAGGCCTGTGAGATCTAAATCATCATTGCTGTCAGAATTTGCTTCCCCCCCACTAACGGGGGGAAAAGATACTTCTAAAAAGGATTTACTTTTCTTCAAAAAGACCTTTCTGGGTTCTTTCAAACCACAGAATCAGGGTTGGGGCGAAGGAACTTTAGTGAGTCGTAATAATATTTGATACACCTGTGGTCTCAACTCCTTCCTCGCATCTCTGGTAGGAGGGGCTATGACACAATGAGAAAGGGGGCTTGATTGACAAATGAAAGCGTGCGTGTGCACTGCTGGATCGTCCATCGTGAACTGCAGGATATTCAAAGCCTCTTTGGTAAATTTGTAAGAGTTTTACTCACATACAGCATCCTGATACTGATATCCAAATATGGTCAAAACTCCACCACAGACAGAAGGAAATCACGAGAACATGGAACAAAGTTTGTGCAGAACTAAACCTGCAAACAAGGATTAACCACACTGAACTCACCATGGTCAGAGCTTTAACCTCCATCGGGTTTCCAGCAAACTAGGCGTAGGGGCAAAATCAGATTCACATCTACCCCTTTATATGGAAGATTCATCGATTTAACAGGACTGCAGCCAAAATGCATGTAGGAGACTTGAAAATGTCTTTGTTGCCAAAGGTTGCAGAAATGCACCCTTAACCAAGCGAGTGAAGGACGCATGCGTCGCTGCTTCTGTTTCACGCTCAGTTTTGCCAACCAGCCGTTGCACAGCATCTCAAACATGCTCAGCTTTCAGTTCGAGCTAGACGGGGCGACACTTAAGACAGCCATCCTAACATCAGGAACATCTTGCTCGTGGTGTAGTGGTGGAGAGACTCTAAGCTTCTCTTTAAGGATAAAAAAGGAACCAAAGTGAGTATTGATTTTGGATGTTTTTTATTCATCAGTAACATTCTATAAAGAAGTACATTCACACTCACAGTATGATACAGGACCTTTTACATAGTCTGCTGCAAAAACAAGAAAACTACTGATCTATAGGTTGTTGTCTTTCTGCAGGAGAGGTACCAGGAGCTGCTGGAGTCAACTAAAGCTGAAGAGCTGTGACATTTCTCCAACACTTCTAATGAGAATTAAAGTCAAAAGAGGCTTCCTAACACATCTGCATGATTTAAGGCTAACAAAAAATAAAACAAAAATATAGTAACAGGGGGGGAAACATCGCCCCGAGACAGAGAGGAAAGAGCACAGAAAAGTTGCAAATGTAAACAATATAAAACAACATCATCCTACAGATCCTGGGACAGTACTTCCTGTTTTGCTGCACTTTCAAAATAAAATAAAGTGCATTAATAACACTGACTGTCCCTTTCACTTGTTTTTGGCTCTGATGGTTCGCTTGTCCGAGCTATAGACCCATCCACCAATACACATGAACAAGATGTTTCTGAGAATGGCTGTCTCACTAAATGATGAATGAAAAGAAAGTAAACAAATAAAAAAAATAATTAAAAAAATAAAAACAACTTAAATGAAGCACTTTTTCCAAAAAAGGCCCGAGTAAAGGCAGGCAGTGACATGAGCGGAAAAATGAGGTGGAACAGAAGCATCAAGCAGCTTTAACTCCAAACTTACCTTCAGCTAAACACAAATTACCAGCGACTATATTCATTACAATGTGATATGGTTCATGTGTGCACGGATGAGTGCCAAGGGAAACGCTCACTTGCTGACCTAAGGCGGATAAACAGCAGCACAGTGAGGATCAACAAACATACAGCCCTTTAGGATTGTATGGATTCAAATATATATAAAAAAAAGAATAAAACAAACAAACAAAAAAATAAGAATAAATCAAAATTTCCTCAATTTATGACCAAAAATAAGAATTCAACATTTAAACAAGAGAATGTGCCATCAGCCAGTTGTATTCAACATAAAACTATTAAAACAAAAGTTAGAGTCAAGTCGAGCTGTGGCAGCTCCCTATAAAAATCATCATCCTTTATATGAGTGGATCTACTTTAATCACTTGTTTGGTCCATTGTTGTGGCAAAGAAAAAAAAAACCCACATCCTTTCATTAACCATCCAAGTTTTTGTATCCACTATAGCAGGTAAATTAACTGCATGAAAACAGTAAATCTGTCATGGATAAAGGAAAGTGTTTCAAAGAAATCCTTTTACGTAACCACACTTGCTCATTTTAGCGGATAAATTAGTCACTTAAAGGTTAAGATTACTTATAATGTCGTAATCCGCCGTGACATCGGGTACGGGGAAGGCCAATGACACATTTTCTGATTCGACCTCATAAAGTTACTCAGAGATCTTTAAGGGTTACGACGGGCACCCTGTTATCTGTGCTTGATAGAGTTAAAGTTAGATTTTCTGGAATTTCCTGTAAAGTAAATCAGCACACTGGTCTTTTTATAAAATGTAGTTCCTTTGTTAAAAAAATTAAATAAAAATACTGTCAGCTGTTGGTCATCAAAGAGGATTAAAATCAACTTCCCCGCCGTCTGGCAGCAGGCACAAGTACAAGTCGCCAACGCCAGAAACACTTAAATCACAAACTGGATATTTATTAGGGTTTAACGCTCGGAAGCAGCGCTGCAGGGGACCAGCAGGTGGCGCTGGAGCCCGATATCGAATCACGGAAAATAAAACCTGACCCGATCCGGTTTTTAAAGTCAGCAGCGGGCTTTAAAAAAAAACAAAAAAACACTAAACTAACCAACTGATGGCACAAACACGAGCGAAGAGGCTGCTCCAAAATTTGCTGCAAATTTTTTCATGCCAGCCTGAAGGAATGAGTCCCAACAAAGTGGGTTCTGCATCAGCTGCAGCTCGGTACAAGAGTCCCTTTTCTTGTTTTTTGGCTTCTTTTTTGGTTTTTCCTTTTATCCAATTTGAACTTGTATAGATTTTTATATTCCTTAAGTAATAAGTGAAGACGATAAAATATTTCCACACTTACATTCAAGTGCTTATAGGGTTATATTGCATTGTCATCTTGTCTTAATCTACTCTAAGCTGGATTTGCATTAAGCCTGCGTGTTTGAGATGAGTTTACTGTAGAGAGAGAGAAAAAAAACACTCACTCTCCTTTAGAAAATAAAGTGTTTTAGGATTAATCATTAAATATATTCCATTAATTATAAACAGCGTGTCTAAATCACCTATCAAAACATTAATCAATTCACATTTAAGGAGCAGGAAGAGTACAGAGGCACAGAAGCTTATTGCTGCCACCGATGTGATAAATGTAGAAATACTGCGCTCAGATATTCACATTGCTTTAACAAGGCTGTGATCTGTGTTAGGGGAGGAGGGGAGGGGGGTGAACCACAAGCAGTCTGACCGGTTAACGAAGCCAAATCAGAAAACTAATCATCAGGTTATGACGTCGGGCCTCCACAGTAAAGTGCTCACTCCACATGTGAAGAACATTTGAGGCTTCGGGAAAACTATTGTGCAACGTGTGAGTTTGCAGTTTCAATGGCCGTGCAGGGGCGACAGTATCGCCATGTAAACAAACGGCAACGAGCCATAACTTTGGAAGTTCAAGTTTGCTTTTTCCCCTCCTCAAAGTGGAGTTTGTTAGTACCAGGGCTGAGCGATGGTTCGACAGACGTCGTAATAATACAGGAGCTGAAAGATGGGTGTGAGATCATCTCAGCTAACACCAAATATATAGCACCAACTCTCCGATATGGTAAATCATGCAAAATAAAACATTTTTACAAAGCTGCGAGTAAAACAGACGCTTTCGGACCAAAGAGTTCCAACGATCAGAGCTTTTTTCTTCCTTTCTGATGAAAACTGAGTTGAATAGAAAAACTTAGAAAAGACAGACCAAGGAAGGAGCTGTGGGGGTTGTAATTTACTACGCAGTAATACTGTCCTCGTTGATGTACAGGACTGGTTTAAATCTATGCTGGACTTCACAGTGATGACAACTACAACTACGTCCAAGAACTCCAACTGGTAAACGTGAAGATACGATGACACTGGCTTTTATGCACAAAAAAGTTAATTTTTCTCTTTTACGTTAAATTTAATAACACCATTAGGATCGGGGCACTACAACTGTTTCTTGAAAGCCGTTAATTTCTTTGATTTGCTCCACTTTAAAGAGCAACTCAAACAAGAAGTCTGAATGCAGTAAGGGCTCCTATTCAAAAATGCTTCTCAGGTGTGGTTGTACTAAGAGGTATTAGGTACAGAGGTAATACCTGAAAACTGTTATTTAGCTCTCTCATTATGCCAATGCAATAGTTAGCGTGTGCCCGTTTTATTAGCAAACTACGGAAATGCTCCAATTCGGCTCTGAAGTCAGAAAAATGACAATATTTGACCTGATGAGTCCAAATCAGGTTCTTAAAGCCTGGACTTCAACACTGACCAATGTCTCTGTGTTTTATTTATCTATTTATTTGTAAATATACAAGTTGTCAGCGCTGCCACAGCAAACACCAACGTCACCAAAGGCTCCTCTTGTGCTGGAGTTGTCTGTGAACTTTATGGCCTCATTCCTGAAGTGCAGACATGCAGAAAGGTGCGACTTCCTGTCAGAGTCAAAGGAACTGCAAAAGTCCGAAAGCAGCACCGAATAACCCGCTTTATTAAGACGACTGTAATACTGTTAAATTCAAATGGTGCTATAATGAATTTGCTCCAAAATTTAACACCATGAAGAAGAAAAATATTCTTATGACTCCTGAAATTCTTTTAATTAGATGGCCTTTGTATTCATTTATTCACCAGTCAGAAACTAAATAACTGACGTTTAAACATCACTCAGCCCTTTGTAGTACCAACCACGTGACGTTTCATGTTGCTTTTAAACAGCAATTTTATCCAGCTCTTGTCCAAGCTGGACACAGAAGTTTTTGCTTCTCACCAAACTTTTTTAAATTTAATCCAAAGTGCCTCACGATGAGCACATACCTCTGACTGTTCTGTGTTAGTACCTTGCTCCAGCCACGTGGAGAGAGAGACATGTTTATGAGTGGACTTCCATCTGACTTGCATAAAGGTTTGTTCCAACGGGAGATTATATTTTCATTAATAAGCCCTCTGTTAAACTTCACTGCACTGAATGCATTGACACACCTGCTGCTCCTTCGCTTCCTATTTTAACCACAGAGGAGCAAAAGCTGCAATTTGTTTTTTAAAAATCATTATTATTATTAATAATATGATTCATAATGACAGCATAAGTGCATCTAAATCTTCCAACTAACATTAGGAAACAACACAAATCTGACTGATCATTGGTTTTAAATGGCCCACTGCTGGGTCCTTGTGGCATAGGAGCTTCTGACCAGAGGTCAGGTGAGGGGAGAAGACTGGGATGGGGGAGGGGGCAGGAAGAGGACAGACTGGGGGAGGCAGGTGGCTCCACAGTGTTGGGTCCTCACGGTAGAGACTCCTCTAAGACTTGCCTGCGTTGGCCACAAATGGGACTGAGCCGAAGAGATCCTCTGGAGGAAGGGGCTTGGCTGCGGCGGCGGCAGGCGGCGGTCGGTCAGTTTCCACGCTCGTTGTCCTCTCCACTGGCTTTTCTGTACATAAAAGACCACAATTAGATATCTACAGCTACGAGGTGATAGAAGTAGTTTTGAAATTAAATATTGTTGCATATGATTGTGGGAGTTTACTGATAAATGTTCCCTCAAATATGTACAGACTCCCACAGCTCTGAGAATACACTCAGTAAGAGCACAATGCCCAAAATGTGCTATTTTAACAACAGAAAAATGTTTATTCTCCATCTGGTTGAAAAGCTAAATAAACACGGTGATACACAATCATATGGTTCGCATGCCAGATTTTTCCCTTCATCTGAAAAAGACATTAACGAGGAGCTGAAATGTTTACAGAAAATTTCTCCGTCTACGGCAACACTTTTCAAACAATCGCCTCTTTTCTTTCTTTTCTTGAAATGACAAAAGAGTTAAAACGTTAGAGTTCACTTGCTTGCTCTGAGCATGTCAAATTCCCGGTCAAGCAGCTCCTCCTCGGTCAGTTTAGAAAAGTTGTCCTCTCCGAAAGGGTTCCAGCCTGACATATCGGGAGGGTTGCTGACTGCACTGCTGCAGCTCTGCAAAGGAGGGGTGACCCCATCTGTGGACAGCAGAGGGTTCCTACGGCAGAGAGGACAGCAAACAGACCACATTAGAGACAATATCAATCAGATACAAACTGCATGCGTTTTCCAAACAACCGATAGGACTGAAAAAACCCAATGCTGAAGTGAGAACAAATGGCTGAGGTCACGGTGTTTGCATCCATCTTCAACATACAGATGATTAATGTAAATCCCATTTTCACATCACATAAAAACTTTCTATATGCTTAAAAACGGAAAGAAGGGAAATACTTTCACATGTAGAAGGAAACCAATCTAATTTCACTTCCACAAACAGATTCAAAGGACATTACCTGGGGTTAGTGTATGAGGGATCTACAGGAGATGGCCCCCCCATCTGGCAAGTACCAGCTCCAGTTCCTGTGGTGGGTGTGGTCGCATTGTAGGAACCCAGAGGGATCTGGAACTCAAGAGGGGAAGACATATAGGGGAGAGGCTGCTGAGCAGGATGATGCTGCTGCTGCTGCGGATGTTGTTGATGATGTTGCTGATGCTGCTGCTGTTGCTGGACAAAAGCCTGTTGGTACTGTTGCAGCTGTTAGGGAAGGAAGAGAGGGAGAAGAAGGGGGGAAGGGAATGAGGGACGGACCATTGATTTCATGGCGCATTATGATGATGAAATGTTGTTAGAAACCAGTTCTGGATTTGGAAAGCTGGGGACACGGTGGAGGGGAGGGATGAGGGAATGAAAGTCAAACAGCACATCGAACACCAAACTGAACACATCGACTAATAACGACTAACTCAAACTATGGCTGACAGATCAATTTTCTGGCCAATCAGAGAGTGTGAAACACTTCGAAACAAGATGCTCGAGTCAGTTAAAGTTCTGGGATATTGATCTGCTCAACCGCACGTGGGAGATTTCAGGAGACAGTCATTTCAGGAGCGCTGGACAGGGCCACAGAAGGCCCTTAACCCATCAGCAGGGCCGGTATCGACTTCTTTGTACAAGGTGGAACAGGATGAACACTGCCAGAACCCTACAGAAGGCCACTGGTGTGAATGTTTTGGACCAAACAACCAAAAAGAGACTTCACGAGGTTGGCAGTTCCAACACTGGCACCCTGTGCTTTTCACAGAAGAGAGCCGGTTCACCCTGAGCACATGTGACACACGTGAAGGGGTCTGGAGAAGGCGTGGAGAAGGCCATGCTGCACGTAACATCGTTCAGCATGAACAGTTTGGTGCTATGGTCCATGATGGTCTGGGAAGGGATATCCATAGGCAACATCACCCTAACTGCCAGAAGGTGTGAGGATGAAAGCCTTGGACCCACAGTCAAACCCTACACTGGAGCAGTGGGTCCAGGGTTCCTCCTGGTGCACGACAAAGCTTGGAGGATGAAGGAATTGATAACATTGACTGTCCCTTAACGCTCGCCTGACCTAAATCCAATAGAAAACCTCTGGGTCTTCATGTTTAGGCTCATCCAATCACTCATGATCTGGGAAGAGATCCCAGAGGACACCATCCATCGCCTCATTAAGAGCATGCATACAAGCGCACAGGGGACAACTACCTTTTTAAGTTGCTGCAATGAAATTTTTGCAAAATGGGGCAGTCTGCTGCATCAGTTTTTCACTGATTTTCAGTGCGTCTTTGAATTCAGGGCTCTGCAGGTTAATAATTTTAAGTTCTATAAAATGATGTAGCAGTCTTTTACCCAGTCCATATCAGTGCAGATATAGCAGCATAATTTGTTCCCACAATGCAATCTGTGTTTCCAAAGAGTTCCTTTAATTTGTTTGAGTAGTATATGAAATAAATTCTGCAAATGACGACAAAATGAGTGAAATTTGGAACATTTTTAAATACAGTTTATGGTTCACCTTTTTCTCTAAATCCTCTAGTCATCCAACACTTTCTCCACTCTCCAAGTTTGTAAAGCAGTTTTTTCACACTGCTGTTGTGCATTTAAAGTACCGCACAAATGAAACTGATCCAATGTCATTAAACCATATTACGAATGTGCAATGCGTCTTCCTCACAATAAGGAGCAGGTCTAAGATCGGTGTGGAAATGCTGCTTTTTAAACACTAAGCAGGTATCTTGGGAATAAGAACAGTAATTCTGAGCACTCGCCTCTTCCCCCGAATATGAACCGCTTCATATGTCAGAACGCAACATAGATAAAACTGCTCCATTTCACCCTCTGTTCGATCCCCTCGTGGCTTCGCTCAGACCAGATTGCCTCTGAAATAAAACAGATGGTACGCGCTCGGTGGGAAACAGACTAAAAATTACGCCGCCCTTACAGTGCACATTTGGAGGACCTGTGTTTGTGTGTTTGATTCAGTAAATACTAGTTTTCAGAATATTTGGACAGATTCAGTAGGAAGTTTGAGCGTCTGCTTCCAATGCTGCTTGGCACAGACGCGAGGAGATTCGAGGGAGGAGGACTGGCTGCCAGTGTTTGGAACAGAGAGCAAATTTAGGCCATTATGACATTAAATGAAATATTCAGCTCCGTGTTATTTCACGCTGTGTCTCCATGTGTTTCGCTGTCATTTGCTCAAACTATTTACTGCAGTTTTGGATAAAGTCTTCTGCTCTGAAATGCTGTCACGTTTTTTTTCCAGTCGCTTGAACAAAAAGCAAATTCAATTTGATGGCTGTCGATTCGAGAGCAGACTCCGCATAAGCCAAGCCGCACAAGGCCAAAAAGGGGCCACATGTTTGTTGATATGGCCAGAACAAACTGAGAATTTGAAATTGAGATCTGTCCAAGTCAAGTATTACCTTCTTGATTTTTAAATATTGAGCATTGGAACTACATGACTACAGGTAGATAGACTGGGAGCCATTTCTGCTGTTTGGTGTCTGGGTCTTGGCTGCAGACCCAGCTCTCTTCAGCAGGAGAAACTGCA